ATGAATCAATGGTACAGAAGTGGAGGAAGCAAGAAGAATGAGTTGAGTAAAGTTTGATTTATCTGACTGCTTTGTTTTGCTTAATGTATCTTATAATCCCGTGCACCTTATGGTCCGAAAAATACATATTGGACTTTTTTGCTGCTCTGCTCTACCGCAAATCACATATTGGGTAAACCAAACAACCAAATTAGAGGAGAGCAGAACACAGAAATCATCAGGCTGGGACTTGGCAGTCAATTTAAACCAACACAGAGGAACGTTGGTTTAAACAGAATCAAGGAAGACGCTTACGTGAAAAGGAAAAAGAAACATCTCTGAAATGAGGAGGAGGTCTTAGAGTACATCTTTCACCATCTTAGCAATGTAGGATCCTACATTGCCAAATAATGCTAGTTCCAGTAACCACACAACTGCACCGTTTGTTGGGGAAACCTGCAGTCGGCTCAGAGTGCAGAGGTCACCCGGACGAAACACCCCTCACACCCAAAATCACACATCCAGATGAACGGAATCAACTCTCACCACTACCAGAAAATGTCATGGTGTGAATTAATTTGATTTCCATTGGACCGACATTCTATCCATGGATGGACCCAGCCTCTGTGCCTCTGTCACAGTCTACCTGTGGGACATTTCACCCTGTGTAATCCAACTGTGTGACTCTAATGGAAACACTGATCTCTGGTTGGAAGTAAGCCATCCTCCTGTGTGTGTGTGTGTGTGTATGTGTGTGTGTGTGTGTGTGTGTGTGGGCAGACAGCTTGGGTAACAGTGTTTCAGCAGAGTGGTTTGGATGGATGTTGAGCTTCCTGTGGGCACTTTGGCTCCAACCCAAACACACTATCGGCGTGCGAGTCAGATGGAGCTCAAACTGAAAACAAAACGAGATCAATCCCAAACATGAACGGTACAGAAATTAAACGGATCTTTTTTACATTAGATTTTACTCTTTTTATGCGGCACTGAGGTGAAACAGATTTATGCGTCTTCTAAAAGAAAAAGTCTTCTCAGGACTGGGGATCAGAGACCAGGGAGGATAACTGTTTCTATGCAGTAGTTGAGGCTCCTTTTGAACATTTGCAGCAACCTGATATGAGACACGGGGCGAATCCAAAAACTACACCTCAACTCAGACACGCTGCAGTTTTTATTTTAACTACCATTCTGAGGAAAAACATAGACATTACCTATTATATCAAAGTTCTATCAAAGTCCAACAAGAGCTTGAATTCAGTGCAAACTTAAAATTCACAATTAGTGTAAAAATCCATCTGATTTCAACGTGATTTATTTCAAATGTGGCTCATCGCAGCACGCTTTTAGAGCTCATCTGGCTGAGAATGATGGGCCTCGCATATAAAAGCCACTATGTGATGAGCTGGGGGTGAGAATCTGGGTTTGTGTCCACCCCAGGCTCTTTGCTGCATCCACAGTCTGCAACAAAACCGATGACCTGATGGTCTAGGCCCAATAAAGCTGACTGGTCAGCCATTGGTCTGTTCCTGCCACTGATGCTGTTTCCAATCAGCAAACAGACTGTAACAACCCTGACTAACCAACAGTTTTTCTTCCCTGATGGTATCTCAGTGTTGTATTAAGGCAGCGTGTGAGGCGACTGAAAAAAAAGAGGCTGTTATCAGTGGTGTGGTAAACACAGGTGAAGGTGTCTGTGGTGACGGTTTCATTCATGTGTCTAAAAATGGAGTGCAGACTTTAAAATGTGTTTCGCAGCACACCTGTGACTAAAACAGCAGCACAGATGGTGCTGTGGTAGTTTATGGTGAGCCGATGCCTCTTCGCTCACAGCAAGTGGCAACGAGGCGGAGCCACGACCGAGACGGCGAGCCCAGGTGGAGTGAAAGAAAAGGACTCAAAGCGACAGCAGCACCACTCGTCACTGTGATTAAAAGCTCAGTGGGGGAAAAGGCATTAAGAGTCCTTTAATAAACCGTGTGATCAACTGAAATATGAAGAAGTGACTTTTCGAGCCGCTCCTGTCTACCACAGGTTTGTTTAACACAGAAACAAAGAACAGGTGAAATAAGTTTATGCTAAACTTTGCTATCCTCTCAGTTTCTTGAGAGCGACGCTGAGCATTGCCGCTCCTACATTAAAGCTCAAGCTACCAGCAGTACATCCTGTAATAGAAATGAGCTTTTCGAGCCTCCCAGATTGACTTCTAACCAATGTGTGGCTGTTAACCACGTTTGATTTAGTCACTCCACTCTTTGCTTCATGTGTCTTTTTTCATTAAAGGCTCCCAAGGCCCAAACAAACCAGGCAGGTACTGTTTGTGAGTGGATTTCTGTTTGGTGGATTCATGAGTGGATCACTCAGCCTGAGGACACGTCTGCTAACAGAACGACTGTTTACATGACACCGTGTCCATGTTTACGTGTGCTCCAGGCAGCAACGAGGGCTACTCTGTTTATAAAACAGAGATATAGTGACTACATGTGTAAACATACAAGTGGGATACTCCACAAACCTGATCTCACTGACAGAAGAGCACACATACAAACACACCTGCAAAAGGTCGTCACGTACAGATGACAGGCCGACCAAAAGGAACATTTTAAGGACCAAAATGATCAGTTGGCCCTTCTCCTTGTTCTTTTGCTTGTAATCTCACAGAGTCTGAGCGGTCCTGGTGCCTCTAGTCCTGATCCAGCTCTCCTGCTGAGGGCTGTTAACAACCCTCCTCTTCCTCATGTACTGTTTGCACCGCTGGTTCTTCCTGGTTCGCGCCACACATCAAAAAGCTCAGTTTACCCCCCTCCTGTTATTCAGGACTGCTGATTAGTCACAAGCTCATAATTCCCATCATTCAACAAGTTACTATTATAAATACTG